TTGTTAGGTACGTTCTCACATGGCCAGCCTTGGATTACGTAAATTTCAAGATCTAATAGGTCGTACGGATTTGTTGAAAGTTCGCGAAGATATCTCAGTAGAGAAGGCTAAAACATTAAAGCTCGATAATATTTTGCGTAATGCACTTGAACTTCGTCCTGGAGTAAATATTCAGGGAGGATCAATGAAACAGGACTTTCAACTAGAAAACAGATTGGACAATCATGTCATTGAATTAGCCATGGATTTATTGAAAGGAAAACAGAAACGTGTTGATATTGAATTAAATATTAATAACGAATGTAGAGCATTTGCGGCAACATTAAGCTACCATATTTCAAAGTAAATGTCTTTGTCTTATGTCTTTTGATAATTGCAAATGGTTTCAACAATTGACTAATTGTGTAATATTTCTCTTTTTTTTTTTATCGGCAGATTATATGGCGAAGTTGGTTTACCTGAAGGTAGTATCAACATAAAAATGAAAGGTTCTGCAGGTCAGAGCTTCTGTGCTTTCATGACCAAAGGTGTTCATGTTACTCTCGAGGGAGATGCCAACGATTATGTTGGCAAAGTAAATATGTTTTTCTAACCGAGCTATTTCAGATCATCGGTATTGTACATATTATGCGTCATATACACATTTGGTACACATTTCTATAATTTTTAGGGTTTATGTGGAGGAGAAATCGTTATATATCCACCAAAAGATTCTACTTTCAAGTCCGAAAATAACGTAATCGTTGGTAATGTTTGCCTTTATGGTGCAACTTCTGGCAAAGCATATTTTCGAGGAATCGCTGCTGAAAGATTTAGCGTCCGTAACAGTGGCGCCATAGTAGTAGTCGAAGGTGTCGGTGATCATGGGTGCGAATATATGACTGGCGGCTGTGCAGTTATTCTGGGTCTTACTGGTCGAAATTTCGCAGCTGGAATGTCCGGTGGGATAGCTTATGTCTTAGATGTAGACGGATCGTTCAAGAGGTAGATTACTCCGTTTTCTTCTTTTTTTTTTTATCATACATTATATATTTATTGTGCATATATTCTTAATCAATTAATTTTTCATACACAGTAAATGTAATCCTGAAATGGTAGAATTGCTTCCTTTAAGTAAGCAAGAAGATATTGCATATGTGAAACAACTTTTAGAAGAATTTGTTGAGAAAACTGGTTCTTTAATAGCTGAAGATCTTTTGATGTTGTGGCCTGAACCAACTACACGGTTCGTTAAGGTAAATGATGATTAATCAGTCATAGTTATTGTGAATGTATTGATATTCTAATTTTTTCGAAGGTATTTCCGTATGAGTACCAGCGGGCATTAAAGCAAGTCGAAGAAGCCAAACAAACACAACCAATACCGAATGGAAGTTCTCAGACGGAAAACATCCAGATCAAAGATATTGAAGATGCTATTGTAGATACTGATATGGAGCAGCAAAAATTGGATAAGATAAGGTATGGTTCTTCCGACTCAGTGATGCAGCTAAAAGCTCTTACTCAAAGTTTAAATCGCACATAATTATTTCAAATTTTTAAATTGGTATATATATATATATATATTATTATATATTATTATTTTAATTTTTAGAGGATTTATTAAATATAGAAGACAAATGGGAATTTATCGGCCAGTTGAAAACCGAATTACCGATTGGAATGAAATTTATAACTTTCAAAAGGTTCGCAAAGGATTACGCGTGCAGGCAGCAAGATGTATGGAATGCGGTGTACCATTTTGTCAAAGTAGTCATGGTTGCCCTCTAGGAAATATCATTCCTAAATGGAATGATCTTGTCTTCCAATCGAATTGGAAAGAAGCTTTAAATCAATTGTTACAAACTAATAATTTCCCAGGTTTGTACAATTAAACAAGTAATTTGAATGGTAAAGATGAGGCTTGCAGTTAACAACGCGTATCTTTTAAGATTGCTAAAATTTTGAATTAATACGTAATAAATATCGTATGTATATTTAGAATTCACTGGAAGAGTTTGTCCAGCTCCTTGTGAAGGTGCCTGTGTTTTGGGTATATCTGAACCAGCAGTTACAATAAAGAACATTGAATGTGCGATAATTGATCACGCATTTGAACAAGGTTGGATAGTGCCGCATCCACCAACAACTAGAACCGGTCGACGAGTAGCAGTAGTTGGCTCAGGTCCGGCTGGTTTGGCGGCAGCTCATCAATTAAATAAGGCAGGCCATTTGGTGACTGTTTATGAAAGAAATGACCGAATTGGAGGTCTACTGCAATATGGTATTCCGACTATGAAGTTATCGAAACAAGTTGTTCAAAGAAGGGTTTCTCTTCTTGCGGCGGAGGGTATTACATTTAAGACTGGCGTCGATGTAGGAAAACATATTTCTGCTAATGTAAATAATGTTTCAGTTTTATTTACGTAGTAATTACGTTCATACTTGTAACTTATTCCTTGATTTTATGATTGTTATCTTGTTTGTATATATTGACCTTTTGTATGTATATATATTGTAGGAATTACGGGAACAATATGACGCAATGTTAATATGTACTGGCGCAACTTGGCCAAGAGACTTACAAATACCAGGTCGACACCTTGAAGGAATTCATTTTGCTGTAAGCTTTTTGGAAAATTGGCAAAAGAATCAAATGGGGAATAACGTTCCACTAGATATGCGTTTAATAGCTAAAGATAAGGATGTTATTATAATAGGTGGTGGCGATACTGGTTGTGATTGTATAGCTACGTCTTTGCGACAGGTAAAATTTATATCTTTAGTACAACTTTATACATTTAAGAAAATTTCGAAGTAATTTACTGTAAATGTATTGTTTGTTTGAAACTGTAATACGTATAATAATTCAGTTATGCTTCTATTGATGAAAAAGATGAAATGGAAAAAAAACACAATTTGCTGAAATCGCGATAGATTCTACATTATGTATATTTTTAATTACTATCATGTAGGGTGCCAAAACGATTACAACTTTTGAAATTTTACCCGAACCACCAAACAAAAGAGCGCATGATAATCCTTGGCCTCAATTTCCACGTGTATTTAAAGTGGATTATGGCCATGAGGAAGTTTCCTTGAAGTTTGGCCGAGATCCCCGTCAATTTAGTACATTGAGTAAAGTACGTAAAAATTCTTATATATATATATATATATATATATATATATATATATATATATATATATATATATATATATATATATATATATATATATATATATATATATATATATATATATATATATATATATATATATATATATATATATATATATATATATATATATATATATATATATATATATATATATATATATATATATATATATATATATATATATATATATATATATATATATATATATATATATATATATATATATATATATATATATATATATATATATATATATATATATATATATATATATATATATATATATATATATATATATATATATATATATATATATATATATATATATATATATATATATATATATATATATATATATATATATATATATATATATATATATATATATATATATATATATATATATATATATATATATATATATATATATATATATATATATATATATATATATATATATATATATATATATATATATGTTCCTTTACTGTTTTCCACTCTTCCTTTCACGTTCATTTATATATTTCTAATAGGAGTTTTTAGACGATGGAAATGGCCACGTAAGTGGTATTAAAACAGTGTCAGTATCGTGGACGATGGAAAACGGACGTTGGAAAATGGAAGAGGTTCCTGGGACAGAAAAAGTAAAAATTATAATTTGTGACTTATTGCGTCTTTACTATCTTTTCTAATGCTTTGATTTTCATTTAGATATACAAATGTGACCTAGTTTTACTCGCTATGGGTTTCTTAGGTCCAGAAAAATATATTGCAACAGAATTAAATACGAAAATGGATGAAAGAGGTAATTTCAAAACACCAGTTGGAAATTACAAGACAAGTTTAGATGGAATATACGCAGCAGGAGGTAAGTTTTTACGTTTTATTTGTATTACCATCTTTTACATCCAATAACTATACGTCAAATAGATCCTCGTTTTCTCAAGTTACATTTCGTGCATTTTATTACCTGATTAACGTGTTATTGTTATTCCACGTAGATTGCCGGCGTGGACAATCCCTGGTAGTTTGGGCAATCACAGAAGGTAGGCAAGCTGCAAGAGAAATAGATCTGGCCTTAATGGGAGAAACTGGTCTTCCTGTATCCGGTGGTGTTATAACTGGTGTTATGGCTTAAGATGCATACGTTCTAAGTGTAGTCGATCAGAATTCGGCTATTTCTTTCTACCCTTCTCGTTCCTACCGCGTTTTTCTTCTCTTTTTTAAACTTTTTCAGTAATTAAATCGTGCAAAGTATGCGATCAGTGTACCGGTAGGAGAATAAGTAACATGTAATGAGCAAGGAAGACATGCGGTCAATGCGTGAACAAGGAAATCAGTATTATTTTATCGTGAGTGTATATCGTGAAAGTATTCGCGATATCGAAAAGGTCTTATCGTCATTTGTGTTCATTCACGCAGAAGCTCGAATTTAAGAACTACAGTAGGAAAATGACAGCTGCAGTATGAGAAATTTGCATTTTTGTTTCGAGTTGTCATCTCGTAAAATATTTGTTAATTTCTTAAAAAAAAGAAAGAAAATGGTATAACTAAGTAATAGTACTGTAAGTCGAGTTGACTCGAAGAAATAATCATAGATACATTGTCGAATCTACCTCGTATCTTCTTTTACGTCTTTTGCTTGTTTCATGAGGTAACTTGAATTATTCTATGTGATTAAACTGATTTGTATAAAAGGTCATATAATACGATCAATACAGATTAAAAAAAATAAATGTTTGTTAAATATTTCTGTTATAATAAAAATCAAAGTAGAAAATATAAATTGCATTTCGAGGCTCATGTTAAATAATGTAAAAGTAATGTTTCGTATTTAACCTCGTAATTTTCTTTTTTCGACCTACGCTTCGTACATTGTAACATATATACATGCATGTGGGTATGTATATATGTATCGTTTCTGAGTTTAAGATATTTATTTATAAAAAAAACACGAACGATGATGATACACATGTAATTTCCTTGATTGTAAAGAAATTCCCTGCGCCAACAAATTTTATTTATTTGTTGCGCACATATTATTGTACATTCTATACGAAGAGAAAAAAAAGAATACTTCAAGACAATAAATATATAAAGAAAGAAATAAAACGTTTAAAGGTTAAGTATGAGTAGTTGAATTTTTTTATAGTTGTTACATATCATACTCAAATCAGTGTGCATAGTGTACTATAATAAATACGTACCATATCTTAATATTAAACAATTAAGCGATTTAAAGAATGACTAATTACAATATCATTGAATATTCTTCTATAGAATAAAGAAAAAAAAATGAATGAAAGAAGAATAAATTCATTAAATTTGAAAGAAAATATATCATATAATTGGCTGGAATATCAATTTCTCAGCATGTTTCATTTGTTTGCATCTGACGTTCAAGAACTGAAGTGGCATGATTTCCTACAGGACCAATTAACGGAACATCAAATTGGTTATATTCGCGAAGAAATTGTTAGCACAGCAATCGCAAATGTGCTTGAAAAATATTATTTCAAAAAGAAACTGTTCCAATTCAACAGTGAATGTGCCCGTGTGGTTTGGCTACGGTTGTTCAATGCGAGTATCCTTCATTTTCTAACTTTTCTAATTTTTACCTACTTCCTCTCTTTTTCTTATAGTGGATATTCTTAAGATTAGATCCTTATTGGAGACAGGATACAACTGGAAAGGCGATACATTTGATTGTCGATATCGAACCGCAACCTTCGTCTGTCGACTCTTGGATATTTGGGAAGGTATCGCAAATTTCTATCCAAAAATCAATACCTACACTAACATGTATTCCTCTATTAACATCGATAACTGCTACGAAGCCATTGAATAGAATCACGCAAAAACAACAAACAAAATTAAGATATATTAATAAAGAAAAATTAAAACAAAAGAATAAAGAGGGAACGATGATATCTTCTGAAATAAAAAAATCATGTGAAGTAGTTAATGAAAGGAAAAAATCAAATGGTTACTCGAAAGACGATAGCTATTTATCTATGCCTAAACAACATACCATAGATTCAACAGAAAGAATATATGATCAACCAAATAATTTCAAAGAAAAGAATAAGACTGACTTATTGGTAAAGATTTCAAAGCAAAATGGCAACAATAACGATGATAGTAAACAGGAAAACATAACAAATATTCGACAATTGTCGAAAAATTTAAAACAAAATAAAATAAAACTCTTGCCATGGGGAAAGGAAACAGCAGCGAAGATACCACTCCAACGATCATTGGAGAGGTAAAGTTAATTAAAATTTTGCAAAAAGTAGAAGAAAGAGGTGGAAAAAATATTTTGTAGAATTTTATAACAATTTTTAGTAAATAAAAAAGAAGGAACTCTCATGTAAGATGTATCATTTTGCAGGATAGAGATCTTGTGCACAATTTTACCAGATCACAGCGACTATCTTGAAACGAACACTTTAAATGTAAAACGAATGAAATAAGTATGGGTAAATAAAACAAATATTTTTTATAATTTTTTGTTTATTGTTAAGATCACAAATTAGAATCAACATCACATATAGGCGGTATTGAGCTGAAGAAAAACTAGATGTTTTATATATCTACAACAATTTAATCGATAAAAGGATCTGTGTATATGTTCGATGTAATGGAAATCTTACAAATGAAAGTTGTATATGGAGTAAATTTTATTAAGAAGAAGAAGAATATACGAATGAACTTAAATGAATATGAACTGATGAAAGAAAAAAAGAAGATGAAATGCATATCAGATATAACGTTCAAAATTTGTATTTTCCTCAACTTTTCGCCACATTTTTTCTAAGCAAATAATATTTAACAATATATATCAAATATAAAAAATTAAATACATGCGCGCGCGCGCGCATACCCATACGCTCTCTCTCTCTCCACACACACATACACACACTATACTTCTAATGTCTTTAATGAAGTACAAAATATATGTAACAGCGTCTTATACTCTGATTACTCCTACGTAATCAATAGAATCAGATGTTCTTTTTGCTTCTAATTTCTTTGTTGTTATAACAAGCGTAGGGAGAACGTTTTGTTTTCAACTACTTTTAATTCACAAAACTTGTCCAAACATAATTGTTCTTCGATCTATATTCTGTGTGCGATTCAATATCTCAGTTTCTTTATCGTTCTGAATACTTTTACACGCGTACAAATATTATCTTGAAATTCTAACACTGATCAGTCTTATAAAGTCATACACGTGGTTGCTCCTATATATTTTTTCGTTTTCTCTTCCAATACAGTCATTTTAAATTTCATAAACGAAGCTTATTTGATTAAAATAATATAATTCTATAAGATGATAATAATAATAAACCGACAATATCATAATTAGACAAACTGTTTCTCGGAATTATAGATATTACAAATATTGAAGAAGTTGCATGTATGTCCAATCCTCTAAAATATTATTGTACAGATTCCTATTTTATGTCAATTGTGTTTTTTTGTTTTATTACTATCACAACATTGTCACCAATCGATATCTAAGAGTATTAAGATTTTTCATACAAGAAAATCACATTGAGACATTGAAAATGAAAAAATTGAAAAGATGGGTTACATGTATGTGTATGTGTATACAGAAAGATAGATAAATTACATCAATTGATAATTAATTAATAGATAAAAAGGGATACATCATAGAAGAAAATTAGGCCAGGTGAAATTGTACAAATCTATTTGTATCAAATGAAATTACTTTAGATATCCATTGGCATTTTTGAAACTACATATCTATTCTTATTACTACTTCTATAGTTTAATTACTTTTATTTTTGTTACTAATCAAGAAAAGTTGATTTAAATTTTATCGCATTATTACGTGTAAACGCAAACAAACTACTGTTACAAATCTTACATACCAAGTCATTTCTTCGTTAAACGAAGATACAGTTTACATCTCTTATGAGAGAATGTCTCCCTACGCATATCTAGAAATTTGTATTACCAAATATTTTTAAAAATAATTCATAAAACACACTATCTACATTATTATAGAAATTCTAACCTGCAGCATTGATTGATCAGATATGTTTACACTTACATATAAAGAAACAATGATATTTAAAACGAATTACAAATGTCAGGCAATATTCAAAATCTAGAAATCACGTAAAGAAACTTTTCAACCTTAACGATACTACAAATCTTTTTATGCTTTACTATCACAATTGTCAAAACGCATAGATTCTACTTCTTTCTCCCTCGCTCTTCTCTTTACATTATACTTTACTTTTCTGCTATTCATTCCTTATGTTAGCTACCGTTAAATGAAATATATCGCGAAATATAAGCACATCAGAAAAATTGATCTGCTTATTTTGTGTAGAAAGTAAAAAAGGCCACATTGGAGCCTACTTATAATTAGAGGAGCTTCGAATAATCACAATTATCAAGATAATCAAGCAATGACTCCTGGACATAGTGGGATCATTCATTGCTGATACGATCTATATAATTTCTTTTTCTCTAAAGTGAAATCTCTACTGATCATAATAGTACCTCCCCGGGTAAGATTTCTGTAAAGAAAAATAAATGCATTAAAATGAATCCAGCTCATCTCCGTTAAGTTTAAAGCGAGCAATACACGACTTACTTCAAAAACTGAGGTAACAGAATATGCCAAGATGTATGATCCTGTTTCAAAGTCAAATAAAGTTCAAATGTTGATACTGTATTAGGATCACATTGTATCTTTGACAATTTCCTGCATACACTATCTGTTTCGAAGCTAATAAACAAGGTGCAACCTCTGTAATAAAAATACCATATCCATAGAAGACATAACATACTTTGAGAAAAAGTAAGAAAACAATTATTAAATAAGAAAATAGCTTACCTAAGACCGCAAGGTTCGTTCTCAGCCATACTAAGTACAGTTTTAGCAATTCTAGGTAAAAGATCAGCAGGTAACAGAACTTCTCCGCATGCTAATTGTACATGTTTTGCTCGCCTAAGTTCAACTTCCAATCGTTTTGCTAGAGCCTGACAAGCTCCGTCAAATTCTTCGGCCACTGTTCCGGCTAAACACGAAAAATATACATTCCGTTAATTACGATTATCGCTACTTACTTGAATGAACAATTATGATTATCACTATCATTGTTACGATTCTCACACTTGTTTTACAGCGAGAGACATGTTTTTAGATATGTATCCATCTAGCTGTGATTACTACTTGCGCACGCGTACACCAAACACCACAGACTATGTCTATATCTGCGTAAAGTGTACGTGCCGGCCGGTCCTACCGGCACCAACTTATTTAAGTAGTTATAATTTATTCGAAATTAAATCGTTTTATGTTATACGTCTATGTAATTATTATTATTATATTGCTTACTTATCACTTTCTAGTTAAAGAAATTTCTTCTTTTTCTTCCTTTCAAAAGAGAAAGAAAAAGAACAACAACAAAAATTAATAAAAGGAAAAATTACATTCGATTCTATGCAATCATATGTTCCGTATGACCATGATGTAACCACAGAGATATAATTAATGATTGCATAAAAATTATGGGAAAGAAATTAAACCATAAAGTAATACTCTCCGAGAGTATAAAGTACATGAATAAAATTTAAAAAGCCGTAAAATATATAATTTAAAGATGACATTTGCTTATTCGTTTATTCTATGAAAAATCAGCTGATTTGGAAAACCAACTAAACAACTTTATATGTAGCTGATATCATCGATCGATCGTTATCCGTTAAATATATATGCAAGATATGATATAGTTAAAATAGAGAAAAAAAGCTCGGGAAGAAACGTTTAAGTTAACACATAGAAGTGATTAAAAAATATTAAGTAGATTTACCTCTCGTGTTATTAAAATTCACATTTACAGGACATGGTAAAACCTCCATATTTGAGAGATATTGCACAGCACGCACAGAAATACACACAAAGAGTCAGGGAGACACAGAACACAACTAATAATGTCACAATGACCTTCTTATAATGTACAATAGTCGGATTATTTCTTCAGCGCTACGAATATATTCCGAGTTTTGATATTCTATTTTCAATGGTGGCGATTTAACAAGTCTCGCAATGCCGGCAAAATGACTTCTCTCAATTGTTTAAACAGGAGCAGCGACAGCAGTCACAGTCCTTTCTCCTCAACTTTCACTGAAAGCTTCGACACTATACTGACAAAAATAACATATCTCTCTACGTATACTCAGCATCGACACAACTGATTTGCCGACCTGATGACACGGCTTTTGTATAATTCTCCCCTCCCTCTTAATTTTTCCCTCCCACTGTTCTTTAACAGACCGCCTAGCAACACCAACTACGTGACGTTTCGCACTGCATCCACTTCGGCTATTTCCGTTTCTTGCCGTTCGGTTATCTTCGGTTCTTAATACCGCTTTCCTTCGACATCTCTTTCCTTCCGATCAACTAAACGACTTAAACAGCCCATTTCAACTTAATCGCGTAGCCTACTGCTATTTACAACGTTACTATCTTTTTCTTATGTCTTATTTACTTCAATCCATATTCTATTATCAATTTCTCAGAACTGTTATAATTTTATTGCTTATGAACAATCGCTGCTAATTTGTTATTAGTCAATAATAAATTTAATTGATTGTAATTTTCATTTCATGATACATCTTATTCCGTACACAATCACTGATATATTTTTCAATTAATTTAGATTGGTATATATATACACTTGATAAATTCATTTCCAACGCTTTAACACTTCAACAATTAATTGATTATCAGATTGATCACAATTAATTATCCGAAAAGTATCTGTAATTCATCCTTTTGACCAACTTTTTCGTATTTGCATCTATATGTGTATGTATACGTATAAATGTTCAGTTTTCTTTTTGTTTATTCTATTACTGTTGTTCGATGATTCATCTTTTACAAGTTTCATCTTATTCTTAAGGTAGGTCACCTGTATCTGTTTGTCCTTTGTACAAATGTTCAGTTTTCTTTTTGTTTATTCTATTACTATTTTTCGATGATTCATCTTTTAGAAGTTTCATCTTATTCCTAAGGTAGGTCACCTGTATCTGTTTTGTCCTTTGTACAAATGTTCAGTTTTCTTTTTATTTATTTTATTCTTATTGTTCGATGATTCATCTTTTAGAAGTTTTATCTTATTCCTAAGGTAGGTCACCTGTATTTGTTTTGTTCTTTTGTACATCTAGTACTTATCTTTTTTATGAATCATTTAATATGCAGAGCAAATGTTTTATTATCTTGCATCATCACATTATTTTACTATCGGTGCATGAAATACAACTAGTGTCAGTATTAGCGAAAATAAAAATAAAAATGTATAATAATTCGTTAGGAAACGTAATTCTAGATTTCTTGATATATACATACAGATATTTAAATATGTATGTACATAGGTATCGTGAGTCTAAAATCATACAAAATCGTGTCCGTGTAAGAAAACAAAATTGTACGTTATTGTATCTTTTAATGTTGTCAGTTTTGTACATAATTTCTTTTTATTATTTTTATGTTTTATATTTAATATGTAATCAGAGAAATATATTTTTCCGTTAGTGATTAGGAAAATTTTGCACAAATTATATTGTATTTATAATATGATAAAATGAGTATTAAAATGAGTAGTAAAATTACTATCAAGACTCTCACCGATAAAAATGATAGTGTGAATTGAAATTGTAATGAAAATTTATCTTTTTTTTCATATTGTTCTATTTCATCTTTTCATCATATTATGTTTACACATGTGTACCAAAAACGAGCTGTAAAAAGATTAAAACAAGATACGAGTTATAATTCGTTCATTGATGTTTCTTAGTTCAACAAATAAAGCATAGAATGAAATGCAGATCTGATTATTCATTGCATGAGTAAATCATTAAAATTTTATCGTAATCCTATCATTAATACGACCCTGCGCTTGTTTTTCATCGCGATATTCGATTTTAAAATAATAAAATCTCCAAATTAGCATAATAATAGATTGCAAATATATCTCTTAATACGTTTACTCCCCGCGAATAATGCATATACAGTATTCGAGTGCAGTATACTTATCCATATTTCAAATACTTTGCTCTTCTTGTGTCTTAGTCTTTATCTAGTCTCCATAAAAATAGAACTGACAACATGAGCAATGCGATTACTTTTCTATCACATATACATATGTATATACGTGTCTTGATTATACTGCATTATATGTAATTATTCATATATTTTATTTACGTATTTAGATAATGCTAAGGTATCTAATTATATATGTTTGTTCATTCGCAATGTCCATCGAAAGCTATTAAGAAGTAGTAAAATTGTTCAAGAAGAAGTAAATGGACAAATTGGCTGCTATTGCTGCTTTAATTAATAAAACTAACTATATTTGCGTTATTCACATGACGAGAAATAGATAATATTTTACTTTGGACGAATAATGATGGAACATAGACCTTCGATTTTTTTTTCTTATGATGTAATGTCAATGAGGATTGCTTTGACTTTGACAATTCTTTACGTCAGCCTCGGATTGAAACAACGAAATTGTTTTCACATATTACATAATTTTGTTACCTTGGCATGTATAAATAATCTTATAATTGGTAAATAAGTCGGTTAATTTTACAACATAATAATTCCATTTTAATCATTGAAAACCATATTTTATTGTTTTTTTAAGTAGTCGACATCTACATATATGTACGTATGTTTGTATATATACATGGATTTTATTCTATATTCCAAAATTATTTAAGCATCCTTTAATTGGTTTTATTTTTAATGTAGTTATATAATACCCGTAGCATTGTAAACTTGATTACATGTGTGCATGTACATTTTTTTACATGGGACACAATCACGTACATCGATTATTTGAGCAGTAATTTCTTACTTAAATCGATGCAAATATTTGTTCGTAATTACAAAATCTATTGTTCTAAAATTGCACAAAAAACGTAACCATACACATACATATTTTACAACAGATATGCACGTTGATAAACGAATTAAATATTAGACGTTTTTGTCAAATAAATGATAAAACCCGAGATACAAAATGGAACTATATGTTTTAAAAGCAGTAAGAAAAGAAATTATGTGAAATGAAAAGTGTTATTTAATATGTAAAATTTGAAAGGCTTTATTGACAATTTAAATTTTCGACATTTTACCGTCTATTAAAAATTCTATTCTTAAATGTATCAATTGTTTCAAGGCTACTTAAGGTTATAGTAGGTTATAGTGAAAGTTAGCGTTACTAACGCCCCCTATTAGACATTACTTGTTTCAGTAAGTTCTGCAAGTACGTAAAAAAAATGTCGACGACACTGTATGACGTGTAGTTTACAATTGTCAAGTTGTCAGCTGCAAAATGGAATATTTTAAAAGTAGATTAAAGTCTGTCTTAGGTTCTGCATCTGTAGAAAACGAACCATCGAGTATTGAAACGGTATTTCAAATTTTTTAATCGATTTATTTAATATTTTTGTTTTTTTATCTTCCTGACTGCGACACATGGTAGTAGCAATGTTTGTATAAGAAAAGTAAAAATTGAGTCGAAATATTTTGAGATACACTAAAATATTTCTATCTCTGCCTTTTCGCTTTCATACTGTTTTTCTTTTTGCATCATTCACACCTTTTTCATTGGAGTAATCACACAGGTAGAGCGACTGATAGACAGGTTACAATCGTCGATGTTGTTGGATGACAGGCGAGATGCTTGTCGTGCACTTAAAGCTCTTTCGCGCACTTATCGTATCGAAGTGGGAGCTCAAGGAATGTGTACATTACGACAAATTTTAGAAATGGACAGGACTGATTGTGAAATCATTGGTTTAGCACTTGATACGCTTTGTAATATAACAAATCCTAAAGCATTTGATGAAGAAGGTAAAAATTTCATGTAATTATATCGATCAATTTTTCTTGCACAAGTTTTACTATTACTTTTATGCAAATATTATTTTCAGTGGATCAGTATTGGCCCAACATCAAAGTGGGAGAAGAATTTACAGAAATATTTATTAAAAACACAGATAGCGTGGGATTAGTTTTAACACTCTTGGAAGAATTTGAATTCAAAGTTAGGTGGCCAGCATTAAAGTTATTGATGAATTTGTCAACTAATAGATTAAAGGATATACAAGAAATAATTTTAGTTAGTCCCATGGGTGTATCTAAACTGATGGATCTCCTTAGTGATAGTAGAGAAGTCATACGTAACGATGTACATTTCTATAAGCTTGCACTGCATATAACTTTTTTATATAATTACAATGTTATTATACTATAGTTGTAAAACATATTTTATAATGTTGTAGGTTTTATTGCTTCTTATTCAATTAACAAAAGCTAATGCAAATATTCAAAAAATTGTTGCTTTTGAAAATGCGTTTGATCGTATTTTCGATGTTATAGCACAAGAGGGCAATGTAGAAGGTGGTATTGTTGTGGAAGATTGTCTACTATTAATGTTAAATCTTCTAAGGGGTAATGTAAGCAACCAAAATTTTTTTAAAGAAGGTAATATATAACTAGATACATGTTATGTTAAATACAAATATGATAATGTTAATAGTATAATACTATGTCTTAGGCAGTTATATTCAAAAATTAACACCAATGTTTCAAATATCATCCGAACTTGATGACAATCCTCTAAGCACATGGAGTCCACAGAAGGTATCAAACATTCATTGTATGGTTCAAGTCATTCGTGCATTGGTAACACCAAGCGGATCTGCTCAGGTAAGTGTTCAGGTATACAAATAATGCAACATATAAAAACAATTTTTTTACTTATTTTATATATATATATACACACACACACACATATACATACATGTAAAGGCAGTATCGAATTGTCAACACATTATGAGAGCCTGTGGTCTTCTACAAGCTTTGTGTAACATATTGATGGCTAATGGTGTACCTGCGGATGTACTGACTGAGACTATTAATACAGTGGCTGAAGTTATTAGGGGAAATTCCAGTAACCAAGAATTTTTAGCTGGAGTAATGGCACCTAGCAATCCTCCTAGGTATTTTTATGTATATATTATATATTTTAAATATCATAAATTTACCGTATTAACACATTTCTAACACTCACATAATTCATTTAGACCTGCGATTGTTGTCTTACTTATGTCTATGGTGAATGAAAAGCAACCATTTGCTTTAAGATGTTCCGTTCTCTACTGCTTTCAATGTTTTTTATATAAAAATGAAACGGGACAAACTCA